CGAGCTGCAGGAGGCCTCGGGCCAATGGGAAGGAAACGAAAAGCCGACCCTCATTCCTCCCAGGCAGCCTCTCTCCGGCCTCAGGCCTCGGTTTCCCTTCCGGCACCTCCACGGGCTCACTCACAGAACCGGAGAGAAACCCGAAATAAAGCGAACGCTGGCTGCGCAGCCAGGAAATGGAGGCCCCCTGAACGTCACGTGTCCCGCCTCCCGCCACCACATTCTCTCCTGTGAATTGCTTCCTCCCTGGGCCTCGGGCGTCACAAACACTCAGGGAAGGAGGGGAGACAGAAATGGCCCACGTGGGCGACGAAACGAGCTAAAATGTAAAGATCTCACACCTCACCCTCGCCGGCATCGTGGCTTTTGTTACTCAAGGTTCATGGGGAATTGATTCCTGGACCAATCAAGGGAGACTCAGAAGAGGCGTGGCTGCTCGGCCGGAAACGTACTCGGGTCCACAGCTTCCCCATCAGCTCAGCCGATGGGTTCGAAAAGGTGACGCCACCACCATGTGCAAGCTCCCCTTCAGGTATTTCAAATAATTAGAAAAAAACCTCTGGGCTCAGATGGGAGCCGCTTTCTGAGGCGGAAGGTCGTGCGGCGGGAGCAGAGCAGCCCTCGTTCACGCCACGAAACACCCTCCGGCCCTTGGAGCCAGAACAACTCCAACTTCTGGGACCAGAGCTCAGGAGGGAAACCTCCATCCTATTTATCACTGGGATTGATGAGCTCGGAGACAAAGGAAGGCCAAGGGCAGGAAGGGCGGCTCGGCCAGCCCGCTAACCTCCGACACCAGACGCAGCCCTCCATTTCCTGCTCGGTGTCGATGGCTCTGGGACGGGACTTTGACTTGCACATTCACCCAAAGGGGGTTAGGCCCAGCTGGTGTGGCTCAGTGGTTGAGCATCAACCTATGAACCAGGAGGTCAGGGTTCGATTCCCAGTCAAGGGCACAGGCCCAGGTTACGGGCTCAATCCGCAGTGTGGGGCGTGCAGGAGGCAGGCAATCAATGATTCTCTCCCATCATTGGTGTTTCTCTCTCTCCCCCTCCCTTCCTCTCTCTAAAATCAATAAAGACATTTTTGAAAAGGGGGTTGGGTAGGAAAGGCTGTGAACACCAGGCTGAGACAACCCCAGGCCCCCAATCTTACGTCCTCAGGAACTGTTCTCCCATGCTCGCTGGGGGCTGTTACATTCGGGGTTACACAAGCTACTAGAGACAGCTGACCAGATGAGCTTACTTACAGCAGGTAATTAAGCCAAAGACCTCAGTTGAAAATAGCAATTAATCACCAAAATAGCCGTATTCCGTGTTTCTCATCCCGCTGCACACACACTGTTCTGGGGTCACACGGGATTGTGCGTGTCCTGGAGGCACTGTCACCCCAACACCACATCCGCAAACAGCAACGACACACTGAGCGCCACACGTCAGCCCAGCCGTGATCCACTTACCCTCACAGACACTGCGGAGCCACGCTCTGAAATCCAAGCACCCACGCCACCCAGCCCACATCCCCTCCACAAGCTGCTTCATTGTATTTATTTATTTGTAGATTCTCGCCTGAGGATGTTTTCCCATTGATTTTTAGAGAGAGTGGAGGAGGGAGAGAGACAGAGAGCGAGAAACATCAGTGTGAGAGACACATTGATTAGTTGCCTCCTGCACGTGCCTTGACCAGGGCCCTGACCAGGGCCGGACACTGAGCCTGCAACCAGGTCCATGCCCTTGACCAGAACGAACCCCGGACCCTTCAGTCTGCGGCCGATGCTCTATCCACTGAGCCAAGCCGGCCAGGGCCAAGGGCCTGCTCGTCACAGGAGTCCTAGTCCCACGAGAGAGCCAGCTCTCAACAGCCTGAGCCACGCGGGTAACAGCGTCCGGCCGCTGTCCGTGTTGGCAGCAGGTGGTCGCTGTCGGCAGGAGCTTCTATTATTTAACCTCGTGATAGAGGAAGCGTCTCTGGGAACTACAGGGCCAGTGGCTACCAGGGGGCACGCCTACGTGAAACGTTGCATCTGCAGGCCTTTCGAACGGACACAGAGCACCTGCTGCAGGCCAGGAGAGCTGGCGGGCACGCACACCCTTCCCTGTGGGTGGGGTGGTATTCTGTAAATTCTGGAGTGCCGCCGGCCAGCATGGCTCAGTGGTTGAGCATGGACCTTTGGACCAGGGTTCGATTCCCATCAGGGCCCAGGCCAGGGTTGTGGGCTCGATCCCCAATAGGGGGTGTGCAGGAGGCAGCCGATCCATGGTTCTCTCTCATCATTGAAGTTTCTATCCCTCTCTCCCTCTCCCTTCCTCTCTGAAATCAATAAAAATGTTTTAGAAAAAAGGAAGAAAAAATGTTTAAGATAAAACTGTGCACAAACAAGGCTCCTGACCTCAGGTCTTGCCTTTGGCTACGATGGGTCTCATCGCGCGCCTCCTCCACCTGGTGGGGCGCCGCATGGCGAGCGAGCTTGGTCACGAACAGCGGCAGTCCAGCCCCGGCTCCAGGACGCACTCAGTGTGCGTGGCATGACGATGCTTCATGCTTAGCAGTCAGATGGGTCGAAAACTTAACCGTAAAAATGCGGTTTTCCAGTGAATATGATCTCAGAGGTGCTGCCTCTGAGGTTGGCCAGAGCAGGTGTGTTTCCCTCAAACGCACGGAAGAGAACCTGGGACAGCTTTGCAAGGCCGCCCGCCCTGCCCGGCGGAGCCAGTGAGTCAGCAGTGACCCAGGCTCTGACTCATGCCTGCGCACCTGCCTGGAAAGGCTGAGCGGGGACATCAGAGCCCGCAGAGGGCCGGCCTCTGCACGCCGGGCTCCAGGGGGGAGCATGTAACTCCGGCCACACAGCTGAACTGGAAACGCAGGCGGAAGAGCTGCTGCCACGCACACCAAGTGTGTAGTCGCCGCAATTTTCACTTTCACTACTGAGTTCAAGTCACAAAACATCAGCGTGTAACACGTTCGGTGTCGGCAGGTGGCAGTCAGCTTTAACGCTGGTGAACGTTAGACTCTATCGTAGGCAGTAATGAACTCTTCCTTCCAGCAAGTCTCTACCATTTGTTTTCCTGTTTTGTCAGTTAAAACACTATTTATTTTTTATTAAACTTGTTGGGGCGACACTGGTCACCAAGGTCATGCAGGTTTCACGTGAGCATTTCTGTGGCACATGATCTGAATGTTGCATTGTGCGTCCACCACCCGGAGTGAAAGCATCTTCCGTCAGCATATAGTCGCCCCTTACCCTTCACTACCCCTCACCCTCTTCCGCCCGGCAACCACCATGCTTTGTCTGTGTCTAGGAGTTTCAGTTTTGTGTCCTACATGAGTGAAATCGCAGGGTGCTTAGCTTTTCCTGACGGACTTATCTCAGCCTTATGTTCTCAAGGTCCATCCATGTAGTTGCAAATGCGCGAGTTCACCCTTCCTCGTGGCTGAGTGGTAGTCGGTTGTGCACATGGACCACGTCCTCTTTGTCGAGTCTCTGTCGCAGGGCACTTTGGCCGTCTCCATGCCTTGGCCGCCGTGAATAATGCTGCAGTGAACGTCCTTATCGTTTGGATACAGGATACGTCTATGGAGGTGCGTGCTGGCCTTTTCAAGACAGAGAAACGGAACAGATGGCAGCTAAGGTGCCTCTTGCCTTTGACTTCTTGTGATCACATGTCATGGCCCTCACATCCTACGTAAAATACCCGTAGGTCACTGTCCCTTCCCCCATGTCTGGCCCCGTAATTCAACATGAACAACCTAGAGCAGCGGTTCTCAACCTGTGGGCCACGACCCCTTTGGCGGTCGAACGACCCTTTCACAGAGGTCGCCTAAGACCATCCTGCATATCAGATATTTACATGACGATTCATCACAGTAGCAACATCACAGTGATGAAGTAGCAACGAGAATAATTTTATGGTTGGGGGTCACCACATGAGGAACTGTATTTAAAGGGCCAGAAGGTTGAGAACCACTGCTCTAGAGGTTAAGCCAGGGGTTCGGTTAACGTGGTTGAGTGAGACCCCAATGAACTGGGGGGGAGGGGCAGGGGGAGTATATTTGGAATTTCTTTCCTACAAATGATATGACATGGTCCCCATTCACTAACAAAAAGCTCCTGAGTCCCTCCGTTGCCCTGGGTGTGTGCAAAGGGAAATAAAACAGACCTGTGGCCTCCGTCCTGGCGAAGCCTGGGGGGCGGGGGCGGGCGGCCAAAACATAAGCAAGTAACGACGCGAAACCTCGAAAGGCCGCGCGTGCACCAGGCCGCAGAGAGCACCCGCCTGCCGGTGTGATCTCGGCTCCTCCAGAGACGAGCGCCTCGCACCGCTGCTCTCGAGCTGCCGTGGCTCTTCCGTGTTTCCGACGTGGTGGTCGTGTGCCCTGGACGTGCCCGCGCGTGGAGGGCGCAGCCTGTTTAACACGCATGGCCTGCTTCTCCCTGGCATCGCGACGGCGTGCTTGGCCGGCCCGTCAGACCCACACACAGAGCAGAGCTGCAGCCAGGCGCTCTGGCCGGACAGGCCGTGCCCCTGGGGCAGCATGGAGCGGACTCCCAGGCCGCATCAGCCCTCTTTTTAAAAAAGTATATGTTTCTATTGATGTCAGAGAGGAAGGGAGAGGGAGAGAGAAACATTAATGATGAGAGACAGCATGGATCGGCTGCCTCCTGCACGCCCCCCACGGGGGATCCAGCCCACAGCCCGGGCCTGTGCCCTCACCGGGAATCCAACTGTGACTTCCTGGTTCCTAGGTCGACGCTCACCACTGAGCCATGCCGGCCGGGCCACAGCCTCTTAATCCCATGTAACATGCGGGTGAACCACCTTGTGCACACGGGTTCTGAGCAAAACGGGGGAAGAGAAAGAAGAGCTTTGCTGCAACAGTGGCAGGAGCCTGGATTCATTTCCCGGTTCCTTCTTGTCTCCTCAACATTGCCTCCACCCCACTGCCCCCACCACCCTTCCCCCTCTCCCCCTCCCCGCCTCACCCCCGCCCCCGGCTCATCCTGCCACCAGCTTAGGAAGGTGGGCCCTGGTCCTGAGAACGCTCCTGCTGCTCAGAAATGCCGGGTTTCTCTGTGATCAGTGGCCTGACGAGACAGCATGCCTTCCAGAAGAACCAAACTGTTACATCACTTCAGGTTCTCACCACGCATCTCCTTGCACGGGTTAAGCTCGTCTTTGAGGTTAAAATACTGCTGCAAATTGAGGACATGATCAAAGGCCTTTTCATGGGAAATGGACAAGAGACGGAATCAAAGGAAAGGTTTCCAGAATGAATTTCCTAAGATGAAATGTGCCATTCTTAAAAACCCTGGTACTACCAGACGTTGCAGTGTTTCTGTGGTATTCCGTGGAGGGTCAGGCTCAGAGATGTGTGTTGATGTCAGGTTGGCCAAGAACAGCTACAGTCCTGTAGTATCTGTGCACAGGAGAGGTGTGACGCGTCTACCGACAGGTGCCCGCCGTGTAGGTGTGACTCTATCATAAAGGCTCCGCTGAAGCTGCATCTCCCGTCGTTCCTCGGGTCTGCTCCGCCCGGTGGACGGGGAGGGTCAGGCTGGTGGGGCACGGCGGTGGGGATACGGGGAACGTGTTAGACAGGACCGTCCTGCCCCCGGGAACCGGGGATTGTGGAGAACAGCCCACCCTTACACACACACCTGCAGCCTGGCCTCTGAGCACACGGCCGCCTTCCACACCAGCTCGAGCGCAGGCCCTTTTGTGTCCAGCCGACGCCCGGCACCATGCCGGATGCTCCCCGCGGCTCTCCGCGGCCCTTTGACATAGTTGAGGGGTTCATAATAGAGCCGGTCTCTGTCCATCCTCCCCGGCTGCCTGCCGTGGCAGGACTTGGAGCTCAGGTGAGTTGAGAGCTGAGGATTACGTGTCTGAGGCTCTGCTGTTGCCATGGTGACCTTCTTAGTACTTTTTCAACAAGAAGCCCCTCATGTTCACTTGGCAGGGACCCCACGGAACACGTAGGTGTCGGGGGCCCCCGTTGTCACAACAGCCGCCGGAGGTCCGCGGGGACTTTATCGTCATTTGTGTTTGTTGATGATGAAACAGAAGCTGAAAGAGGTTAAGCAACTGGGTCCAGGGGAACAGGGCTGTCCGGAGTGGAGTCCAGGACCGAGGGTTCTTATGCAATGACGTCTGTGGAAGGTGGAAGTCGGTGGTGCTGGCGCGGGCAGGTAAACAGCCATCTCAGGCGGTGATGACAGAAAACTGAGTTTATTTAAGGAAAAGAGGTGGGGGCGGGATATCCAAAGGGAAGGGCTACACAGGACGGAGCCAAAGGGTCGGGGCCCACGAGGGCAGCAAAGATCTACCTGGGACAGCAGGCAAGGAAGGCCGAGGACAGTGGTCGGCAAACTCATTAGTCAACAGAGCCAAATATCAACAGGACAACGATGGAAATTTCTTTTGAGAGCCAGATTTTTTAAACTTAAACTATATAGGTAGGTACATTCAACTTTAAATTCAACTTTAAATTCATGGTTTTCATCTTCCGTTTTTTCTTTGCTCCTTCTTTGTAGCCATCTCAAACAGGGCACCTAAAAAAATGTTTCATTTTATAATAATAAAACCACCAACACAAAATAATTACAATTCTTAAATTGATGACGAAAATACCTGTAGGATTTGCAGCTGGTTGGAAAAGTACAGGTAACTTTATGCTTCGAGTAGGTACTTTTGTCACCCGTACGCGATTTGCGGACACGACTAGCACTAACCACTGCACAATGAGACTGCTGACCGACCGGCTCACTCAACTCGGCATGAATCGCACACGCCTCCCCCGCGCCACGTCTCCCGTCGCCCGACTGACCGACACCCCCCACTTCTAACGCCACTTCTTCAAAATAGACTCGCCCAGGCCGAAAACCGACTTCTGCGCATGGGCCACGAAGTTTCAATTGCACTGTATGTGCGCCGCACGTGGTATTTTGTGGAGGAGCCACACTCAAGGGGCCAAAGAGCCTCATGTGGCTCGAGAGCCGCGGTTTGCCGACCGCTGGCCTAGGAGAACCAACAGGAGAACCCAGGCTGGGCTCACGGGGACGTCAGAGAAAAGGGGGCCGTGGGGACGGGGTCAGGGGTGAGCCCAGGACAAGCGGCCACTACCCATTGCTCCCCTGGTGGCAAGTCTCAGGGGTCCCTTAGAGGCTGGGGGATACGTGCCTGTGGGGAAGGACCGGGGCGTGCTCCCTGGAGAGAGCTGGCTCGCTGGGTCCGTCGTCCGAGCATATTTCTCTCCCTCTTGCAGGTGGGGCTCTTAGGGCAGGTCTCAGGGGAGGGTCTCAGCAGAACACCCATCAGCTTCTCAGGGTGTTCTCTCAGGGTCACGGTCTCCACTCATTGGTCGGCGCCAGGGCCGGGTCACTACTCAACTCAGCTGGTCCTGAGGCAGCCGAGCGTCACTTGTCAGGTTTTGCTGCTTTTCTGGGCCTGGAGCCGAAATACAACTGAGGCCTCGATGTTGTCTGTAGGGGGGAGGGGCAGGGGCCTAAACTGCATGCCCGGGGACGTGCCGGGGAGGAAGGTCACCCTGGGGCGAGGGTCTTGTTTTCCCATTTTGCCCCTTGCTAGGCACCGGGGCCTTTCTGCCTGTCCCTGGCCCATCGCCATTGCTCTGCTCCTGTCTACACTCTCATTGCATCCAGTTTTGGGGTTCTGCAGCTCTGGAACTCATCGAAACAGGGAGAGAACTTGGAGGTATAGCCGTTGCCTTCCTCACACCGTGTTCTTAACTGAAGTTTACCCCGTGAGAGCAGGCTCAGTGTCTTGCATGGCCCGATGGCCCTCCACCAGCCTCACGGGCAATGCCATCGTTAGCCAGTCCTCTCTGCCTGCTCTCATCTGGGCTCGCCTAGCAGAGTCCGGGCCAGCCTGGTGCCCAGTCCACCTGGCCTGGGTTCAGCTAGGAACTGCTGACCTCAGGCCTGGGATTGGCTCCGTCGGTCAAGGACCTTGAGAAAGATCGTCAGGAATCAATGATTTAACCGAGTCCTTGGTTCCAGACAGTCAGCCTCCTCTTCTGGAATTATCTTCAAAGTTTTATTCCCAATGTTTTTCCCATTCTCCGTTACCATGGATCTTCTTTTGAAAATAAGTAGGAATGTGATAAAAAATAGTGATTGGCTACCTTTGATGACTCAGACTGGTTAATGCTATTCTGGAGCTCAAAAGTCAAGGACCGGCACTCCGGCCGGTTTGGCTCAGTGGATGGATCGTCGCCTGCGGACTGAAGGGTCCCAGGTTTGATTCTGGTCAAGGGCACAGGCCCGGGTTGTGGGCTTGATCCCCAGTGGGGTGCATGCAGGAGGCAGCCAATCAGTGATTCTCTCTCATCATTGACGTTTCTATCTCCCTCTCCCTTCCTCTCTGAAATCAATAAAAATATATTTTTTTAAAAATCAAGGACTGGCTGTAGATTAGTAACAGGTGTCCTGGGTGGCTCATACGCTAACTCTGAAGGTGTAAAAAGATCGACACATTCACAGAAAGCCAGTGACTACCAGTTCATAAGTGTTAGGTTTGGCGTGGCATTTACAGAGTCAATCCGGGAGTGACCCCGATTCGGAAACACTGAGAGGCAAGGCCACACGGCTTAGTACCCACAGGGAGCGTGTCTGGCTCCATGTCTCGTAAGCAGCAACGGGAGGCCTCGTGCTGCTTGTCCAAACGTTGCCAGCACTTTGTATCCCGCTGTCTGACAGTGGAAACGCTCAGCAAGCATCCGTGAAAGGCAGGGCCCACTCGGCTCCGCACGTCCACGCGTTCGCACAGGCAACACCTCGGTGCGTCTCCTGCACCGACAGAAACTTTCCCTTCACCTGGTTCCCTAAGTGACCGTGGGGAGTTGAGTGGTGCTGAGTCCTGGTCAGATCATGGGCATTGCTAACTTATATGTTTGTTGTTGTTGTTTTTAAATTGATTTCAGAAAGGAATGGAGGGGGGAGGGGGAGAGAGAGAGAGAGAGAGGAGAGAGAGAGAGAGAGAGAGAGAGAGAGAGAGAGAGAAGCATCAATGATGAGAGAGAATCATTGATCAGCTGCCTCCTGTATGCACCCCTCTGGGGATCGAGCCCACAACCCGGGCCTGTGCCCTTGACTGGAATCGAACCTGGGACCCTTCAGTCCGCAGGCCAACACTCTATCCACTGAGCCCAACCGGGTAGGGCAGCATCGCTAACTTACACCCGGATCAAAGCACAAGGGTTTTGTGAATAAAGCATTGTTCTACATGTGATGCCCTCTCACTGCAAAGACAGACAAGAGCTGGCTGGGAAACACGTTACGCACGCCGGACGTAGAAGAGGCATTTAAACATCTTCGTGCCCCAGGTTATCGATTTCCTTATCCAACCCTCCAGGCCGTGTCAGAACATACTAATGGGTTATTAAAGCGGAAACGAGTTAGAACCAGACGAAGAATTCTAAGACCTGGATATGTGTACTTTGAATTTTTTGGACACGTTCCGAAGGACATCTACGCTGCGCCCCAGGCTGGAGTGATAACAGCCAACGTGCACTGTTGATATTAGAAGTGGTTTAAGCGAATCCCCCCACCTGGGCTTTCATGGCACAGGCTTTCCCGTAGCTGGATATCACTGCCGACGACAAGCATGTGGGCAGAAGGGGCCGCTGGATTAAGGACTATTAGAAACTCACCGTGCAGACGCGGTAATGCCTTGCTACCGCGTGTGAGCGCTTTCTCCTGCTGCTGTCTCATGCGCTTGCCGTGAAGGCGCTGATTTTCTCCATATTATAAATGGACACGGAGGCTGAGAGGGGAAGTAGAATCGCTGCAGGCCACAAAGTCACGGCCAAGTGCAGAACCAGCACCGTAATCTATGACCTGGCCTCCGGGCCCAATCCCCCTCGCCCCACTTCCTCCTCACCCCCGGGCAGCTCAGCCTCCCCACGCAGCTTACACGCAGGCCCTGGGCACCGACGGCACGCCCTCGGCCGGCGACTTTCAACCTGGTGCTGCAAGGACAGCTAAAACACGCAGCACCTGACTGTTTACTCACGGGCACTGGCCTCTCTTCCCCTCGGTTGTCAAAGAACAAATGTCAGCAGCCACTAGATCAACAGTGAATAGATAAGAATTATAGTTTTTTTTGTTAGATCAGCAAAAACATGTACGTTTGGTGAGCCGCCGAATTTTCGTAAGAGCTTGTGTGTGCCCTGGGATGAAACAGGTTGACAATGTCGCTCTGGACAGTCCTAGGGAATCTGACTCCACTTTGAGATTTGGAAACAGATCCACCCCAGCAGCCAATGCCACGGCTGCTGCTATTTCCACCCAAAATAGGTCCACGTAGGTGGTGAGGCCACCAGCAAGGAGCCCTCCTCCTCCTGGGCCGGGGAGAGCCTAGTGGTTAGAGAGAACTGGGCCGGGGCATTGGTTGTTAATGTTGCAAAGGATTCACGGTGTCCTAGCATGATCAGCCCAGGATTGTTGTAAGAAATGACGTCACCCGAATAGAAGGCAGATAACTTTCTCATTTAGATAAAAATGGGAATTCAAGACGGAACTCCACCACAGCGGCAGGATGCTTTGGTTTAGACGCACGCCGAGCAAAGCCACAGCGCCTGGACGGAACTTTCCGTGCCTCTGACACCTCTCCCCACCCCGTCCCCAGCCCGGAGCTCTGTGTCCCTCCCCGGGGGCCCGGGCAGGCCCAGCCTGAAACCAGAGACGGCCTCGCCCTCAGAGCCATGAGGCCCTCAGAGCCACAGACCGCGAAGGAGGACAGGGACGGTCACAGGAAGCTGCAGGGCGTGCTCACCCTGAGGAGGCCGGGGGAGGGAGACTTATTTCTGGAGGAAGGAGAAGGGTTCGTGGCTCTGGGAGCAGCAACTGTCAGGGAGAAGCAAGGAGGTGGGTTACAGGGAAGGGGTGCAGGAAGGAAGGCAAAGGGGATGGGTGGGCGCAGAGGAGCGAGAAAGAGAGAGAGAGACCCTCTGAGGGCAGGAGACGACCCATATTTCCACTCAAGACGCCTCCATCAAGGACTGGCAGGGCCTCACCACCTCACCCCCCCCCCCCCCCCCCCCCGGGAGGCAGGCACCCAGAGGAGGCCAAGGCCCTCTCCCCGTCGCACCCCTGGGTCCAGGCAGCTGCGGAACAAAGAGCTACCCCCATGCTCAGCCCCACCGTGTGCCGGGGCGTCTGGTTTGGGGAGAGGCCTGCGGGGGGTGTCCTACCCGGAGGGAATGGTTTCCGGCTCCGAACAGAAACTTAAACCCGGATCCAAACACAAGGGTGATCGCGGGGCAGTGAGTTTCCGAGGGATCGTCCCTCCTGCTGGAGAAGAGCCAGGTGAACGCTGTGGGTCCCCATGTGCACCCCCCAGGCCAGCTCGTGACCCACCGAGGAGAGCAGGGCAGGACCAGCCGTGTTCCGTCAGCCGTGGATGGTCCACTAAGGGCGGTCAGCAGCCTCTGCCCGCACTCAGGGGAGTGGAAGGCTGAGCAGCCAGCAAAGCCCGTGTGACGTGAAAACGCAGGGAAGTCAGGTCCCCGCTCTCCTCCCTGTTAGGGGTTCAGACGTTCGGGAACCTGCACTCACTTCACCTGGCAGCGCAGTTTACAAAAAGTCCCCGAGGGCCTGGCTATTGGCATCACAGAACTGAACCTCACGCTGCCAGCTTCCTCCAGGGGAGGCATTGCTTACAGGCCCTGGGACTGTCATCCCCAAATTCACCATGGGGTTCGGGGGGCCAGGCAGAGGCCAGCATGTCCGACACCCACTCCCAGGTCCCTCTTCCTCAGGCGCCTGGAACTCACAGCCCTGGGGTTTGCACGGAATAGATTCCACCTCCTGATCCAGGCCAGGCTCCAATTGGCTGAATCTTCACGACGGGTCGCCCTCTAGCCACAGTGATTGGCTCAAGAGTGAGCACCTGGGCACAGGCAGGCCAGTCAAAGCCAATGAGATTCGATTCTGGGATCGTGGTCAAGCTTTGGAGAAGCAACGCCTGGGAATATAGGGGCTCCCCGCTGACCTGGGATGGGGGGTGGGGGGCCCACCTGGGACGAGGCCACCAGCACCGCCTGGCAGTGCTGAGAGCAGAGGTGGAGACGGGCCTCTCTGCTGCAACCCCGGCGCGGCCTCATTGGGGAAACCCCTTCATAAGTCAAAATCGGGGGCTCCTGAGCCAGTTCGGGTTCCTGCTTCTGTGACTTGGACCAGAGCATTTTCACTTTAAAACGTCTGCGTGTCAAGGCCATACACGTCTGAGCCTTTTCACTGATCAGTTAGACGGCAGTTTTGTTTTCATACTGAAATCTCACGAAAACCGCAGAATGCTGACAACACCCTCAGCGGTGTCAAAGGAAATCCGTTCTTTCCTTCACTGGAGAGCTTCTTTTTTCTTTTCCTCCCCTCCCCCTCTCCCCCCTTCCCCGTCCTCCCTCCTCCTTTCCCTCCTCTCCCCTCCCCCTCTCCCTTCCTCTCTTTCCCTCCCCTCCCCCTCCCTTCCCTCCCTCCCCCCTCTCCTTTCCATCCTCTCCCTTCTCCCCTTTTCCTCCAGAAGAAGCTCTTGGGTAAGGACTGGACGGGAGCCAAGTGCTGGCATTAGCCCTGGAGGTGCTGAGACTCACACAGTCAAGGGTGCGGGACCCTGACGTCCACAATTAGATCCCCCTCCTCTCGCAGGCAGTGCAGGGGCCTCTTCAGTGTCCATCCTTATCTGCCATTAGCATCTCGCCAGGAAACACCCTCCTCATTCCCACCTGCCAGGAGAGCCGGGCAAAGGTCAGGGCCCACCTTTGCTGGCAGCCGTCCAGTGTAACCACTGGCTCCTGCGCTGTCCCTCCAGGATCCCCAGGCCGGAGGCCCGCGTCTCGATCTTCGTTGCGTCCCTATCACAGAGCAAATATTTGAAACTGTCCCCAATGCTGCTGCTCATGGGATTGTTCTGGTATCTGGTTAAAGCGGATTTGGCACATGTCTGTACCGTTCGTGGCAGTGTTATCCTCTGTCCACATCCCGCCCCCACCCCTGCTGCCCACTGCCCCTCATTGCCCCCTACTGCCCCTCACTACCCCCCCACTGCCCATATAGGGGTGCTGGGCAGTTGCACTGGACCTCACCCCAATCACTCAACAGTTAGATTTCAGTAAGTCTGTGAGTCTGTGTAACCATAACCAACTGTGCTAGGTTCTTTTTAAAAAATATATTTTTATTGATTTTTAGAGGGAGAGAGAGAAGAGAAACGATTGATTGGCTGCCTGCTGCAAGGCCCCCACTGGGGATCGAGCCCCAAACCCGGCATGTGCCCTGACCAGGGACTGAACCTTCCACCTCTTGGTGGTGGGTGGACGCCCAACCACTGAGCACACGGGCCAGCTGGGCGGACGTGCTAGGTTCTTGAGACAATTCTAGGACCACAAAGGTGCTTTGATTTCCTCACCCCTCGGCCATGTCGGCTGCAGGGCCCCAGGCACAAGCGTTAACACTGCCCCCGGTGCCCTCGGTTCCTTGACTTGTTCTCCCTCTTCTCGGAAATGGGAACAGAGGGTCGGGCCGGCTCCTCCTGCTGCTGGGGGAGTCCAGGCCGTGGGCTACGGCTGGTGCTGCTCTCTGGGCTTCCCTCCCACGCTGACCGGGCTGTTTCACGATGTGGGGTGGATGGTTCCACAGATCCAAAGTTCAGGCAGCTGTGAGCGCTGGGCACGGTGCCAGCTCCCGTGACCAATGGCAGTGTGTGGCCAGGGCTCCCTGGCGGCGAGAGCCCGTGAGCCGCGTGGCCGGTACGGAGCCTGCATCAGTGGCCGAGAAAACACGCACGTACATACACGTATTAAAGGACACACGGGCCTCTGCCACTCGGGTCTCACTCTCAGTGCTGCTCTGTGGCACCTAAAACACCCAGCACCATCCTCATGGCGACCACTGCTCCTCCCCTCATGCTCCATGCCCTAAAACACCACCACGTCACAGCTCCTGCTCCATGAAGGTCTGTGGTGATGAGGATACTGGAGACTAACGCTATTTTAAACCCAAGAGTGCTTGGATTAAAAAAAAAAGGGGGGGGGGACAACATGTCAAATCCTTCTCAGACTGCATGGATGCCATGGTTCCTGCATTTCTAAGGGGCGTTCCCAGGGGGACAGTCACCCCTTTGTTGCGTCTTCAGGGGATTTGCGGCTCCAGATGCACAGGCGAGTTCGCATGGATTTGTAAGTGACATGGAGACGCCTTTAAACTTGAATCTGTGACTGTTGGGAATACTGTGTGGGCTTGTGTGCGAGGGCACAAGTCACAAAACAAATGATAGCAACGTACCTGATACAATTGGGTTCATTTGCAATCTTTCCTGTGTTAATTTATTTTGTTGATTCCGCTATAATGGCAGACATGATATTTGAAATTCATGGGTTATCTCCAAACCTGAATATGGCTTTAAGTTTCAAAAACCATTTCAGTGGCAAATCTTCTCCAAATCGGAATGGATCAAGTGCACCCTGCGAACGACAATGATTTACAAAGGGGTTTCAGTGGTTCTCAACCTTCCTAATGCCGCGACCCTTTAACACAGCTCCTCATGTTGAGGTGACTCCCAATGTCATTGTTACAAGTTGAACACAATGAAAGCATGGTGATTCATCACAAAAACAATATGTAATTATAGATGTGTTTTCCGATGGTCTTAGGTGACCCCTGTGAACGGGTCGTTCCACCCCCAAAGGGGCCGCGACCCACAGGTTGAGAACCGCTGGTTTAAGATCCCATTTCCGGCCATCATCCTGACTGTGATACCACGTTGGCGATATTGCTAAAATGGAGGCAAGAAACAAGTTTAGAGAAAAACAAAAGTAATTTGTGGGCCGTTTGTCTCCATAACGCCCCGCCCAGACCCCGAACCAGCGCGCAGGGGGAGCGGCTCCGCCGCCGGAGCCGGGCCCAGGTTCCGGCTTCTCCCGTCGGGAAGGCGGCAAGGCCGCCGGTGCGCGCAGCAGGCGCTCGAGCAGCGTCTCCATAACTTACACCTTCGGGTCCCGGCCCCCGGCCTCCATCGGGGCCTCCATCGGGGCCTCCGGGCCCCGGCACAGAGGTGAGCGCCGGGCCGAGGGTGGGTGCAGGGTACGAGCACCCAGTACCTCCGCGCGGGGCTCTGGGCAGCGGGGGGCGGGGCGGGGAGGGGTGTGTGTTGGGGACCCCGCCCCCCACCTCCGCGGGGATTGGCTGCCACCCGCTGTGGGCGGCCCGGGAACTGGATGGGGTTCGGGGGCGCGGGCGCGGGCGGCGTGCGTTTCGGGCGGAGTTCCCCGCCTCGGTTCAGACCCGCTGGTCCTCTCCGGCTCGGGCACCCGGGGTCCGGCCTCGGGGAGGAAGGGGTCCCGGCCTCGGCCTCGGGGCCTCGTGGGTGTCCGAGCGGGCTGGGCGCGGGGGCGCCGGAAGGCAGGGGCGAGGGGCGCGGGCTCGGGGGTGACAGACACCCGGAAACGGATCGGGCTGCGGTGCCCCCGACCGGGCGGCTGCTGAGTAATCGCGGCCGGAGGCGGCGGGGACGCCCACGCTCCCTGCGCCGCAGCGCCCGCCCCGCCCCGCGCCCGCCCGCTGCGCCCGGGCAGGTGGAGCGGATCCGGGCGCCGGGCCGCACGGCTGCACCACCTCCCGGCCCCGCGCAGGCCCCGCGCCCATGGCCGGCGCCGAGCAGCAGCGGCCGCGCGGGCGGGAGGACGCGGACCCGGCGGCCGGGGCGCCCCTGCAAGACGCGGAGCTGGCCCTCGCGGGCATCAACATGCTGCTCAACAACGGCTTCCGGGAGTCGGACCAGCTCTTCCGACAATACAGGTGACGGCGCCCCCCGTCCCCACCCCCCCCCGCGCGCCCCGTGCCCCCCCGCGCGCGCCCCCCGGCCCGTCTTCATGGGATTCAGGCTGCGGCCGGCCTCCCTTCCCGGGGCCCCTAATCCCCGGCCCGGGCCCCACAGCCTCCCCCTTGGCCGAGGCTGCAGCCGGCCCTGCGCCTTCGCACCGTCCTCTCCACCCCACCCGGCG